TCGAACCCAGGGCCTCATGTATGCAAGGCAAGCACTCTACCACTGAGCCACCTTCCCAGCCCCTGAGGATTGTGTTTTGAAGCTAGACCAGGCAAGAAAGTCCAAGAGTCTCTTATCTTCAATTAGCCACCAGGAAACTAGAAGTGGCACTGTGGCTCAAGTGGTAGAGTGCCAGGCCCTGAGTTCAAGTCCCAGGACTGGCAAAAAAGAAAAAAGAAATGAGTCTCACAGACTTTCTTGCTAGGGCAGGCTTCAAACTTCAATCCTTAAATCTTGAATATCTAGATTTACAGGCTGTGATGCACTAATACCTGAAATGGCTTCAACAGTTTATGTTACACACCGGGTGGGGGGTGGGGGGTTGGTAATGTGTAAGTCCCCTATCTGCATGACAAAGAGGGCCTTGTATTTGTTTTTTTTGTTTATTTTGTTTTTGCTGGTCCTAACACTAGAACTCTACCTAGATGCTGTCCCTAAGCAACTTTTGCTCAAGGCTAGTACTCTACCATTTGAGATACAGCACCACTTCCGGCTTTTTCTATGATTAATTGGAAATAAGAGTCTCAGAGTAGCTAGGATAACAGGCATGAACCACCAGTGCCCAACTAGGAGGGAGTTTTTTCTTTTGGCATCTCCAGACCTCTCCATTTCCCACTGTAGCCAGAAAAATCTCTCATGTCTGTGCCTTCCATTTCTCCTGGAGTATGAAGAAAGGTATACCCTACCCTGAATCTAGCCACTTGTACTTGGGTTACTATCAAATGTATCTGACGCTGCCTGTCTCACTGCCACCATTTTTTTTTTTTTGTTGGTCGTGGGCCTTGAACTCTGGGCCTGCACACTGTCCTTCAGCTCAAGGCTCTACCACTTGAGCCACTGTGCCACTTCTGGTTTTCTGGTGGTTAATTGGCGATAAAAGACTCATGGACTTTCCTGCCCGGGCTACCTTTGAACCATGACCTTCAGATATCAGCCTCCTGAGTAGCTAGGATTACAGGTGTGAGCCATCGATGCCCAGCTTACTCCCACCAAATTTGATCCTGCCAAGTCTATTGTGCTTAGCTACTGTATGAAATGACAGTCTCTATAGTATGAGATGACAGGTATTTATTTTCCCTGTATTATCGAGTGTAACATTGCCCATGATCTTTTTTTCTTAAAAGTTTTTATTGTGATTAAATGATTCATAAATTTCACAAATTTCCTAGTCTTGTAAGATAGTGATACTTAGTTTAAAAGTCACAAACACATTCCAGCCTTCATGGGCAAATTGTCTTTATCGTAGTCTATAAAGTTTGTGATTCTATGAGCTTTGACAATACAGCTATTTCTTCCACAATGGGTGATATGTACATTTCTTTCCTTTTACTTAGTGTCAGCTGTTCCCTCTTTCCCTCTCATTCCCTTCCTCCAATGGCTGCCATTGAGTTGCTTAGTTAGAAATCTCAGAGCCTTTGGTGCCTGTCTTCCTACACTAAAGAGCATATAGCATATGACTCAGAGTCTACATCTTTTCCCATCAGACAACCCAGTCCCTAACACCATAGGTAGTAGCTTAACAATGTCAGGGCTCCTTAGGAAGGACACCAGGTCATAAACTTAGACAGACATCCAACCTAAACATGTCCCACTGAAGAGTCAACAGCTTTCCCATTGTTAAAAGGTAAGATTTTGTTGGGCACAAGTGGTTCACACCTGCAGTTCTAGCTACACAGGAGGCTGAGGTCTGAGGATCGTGGTGTGAAGACAGTCTTGGCAGGAAAGTCTGTGAGACACTTATTTCCAATAAACTACTCAGAAAAAGCTGGAAGTGGCGCTGTGGTCCAAGTAGTAGAGCTTTCAAACCTCAGGACTGGCAATAATAATAATAACAATAATAATAATAGAAGATTTTCCCACAATTTCCATAGATAAATGACATTAATATATAGACAAAAATTTTTTTTGGTCAGTCCTAAGGGCCTGGTTGTTGTCCCCGAGCCTCTTTGTGCTCAAGGCTAGCGATCTACCATGTGAACCACAGCACCACCTCCAGCTTTTTCTGAGTAGTTTATTAGAGATCAGAGTCTCAAGGCCAGGTACTGGTGGCTCACGCCTTAAGCCTAGCTACTCAGGAGATTGAGATCTAAGGATCTCGGTTCAGAGCCAGCCTAGGCAGGAAAGGCCTTGCGATTCTTATCTCCAATAAACCTCCCAGAAAACCGGAAGTGGCACTGTGGCTCAGAGGTAGAGTGCTCTCCTTGAGCTGAACTGAGGGACAGCAGGCAGGCCCAGAGTTCAAGCCCCATCACACACACACACACACACACACACACACACACACACACACACGAGTCTCACAAATTTTCCAGCCTGGGCTGGCTTCAAACACTGCTCTTCAAATCTCAGCCTCGAGAATAGCTAAGATTACAGACATGAGTCACCACAGCCTGGCTGATAGGTTTTTTTTTTTTTTTAAATATGCGTATTTGTTTGTGATAGATTTTAAAAGCAAAAATGCTAAGGACAGGGGCTGGGAAGTTGGCTCAGTGGTAGAGCGCTTGCCTTGCATGCCTGAGGCCCTGGGTTCGATTCCTCAGCACCATATAAGCAAAAAGAAAAAAAAGCCAGAAGTGGCGCTGTGGCTCAAGTGGTAGAGCACTAGCCTTGAGCTGAAGAGCTGAGGGACAGTGCCCAGGCCCAGAGTTCAGGCCCCACAACTGGACCAAAAAAAAAAAATGCTAAGGACACCCTAATCCTGAGTTTAAGAACCAGTGCCAGCAGAAATGTAGTAAAAGATAAGAGATAGCTAGGACTTCCACATAGATGGGACTCAGTAAAACTACATTTCAGTGTTATCACTTGTGGGAAAAGATGTATTTTTAAAATTTATTTTTCAATCAAGTTTCCTGGCCTTCCCTCTGATGGGCAGGGCCGAAGGTTAAGAGTCTCCTTCGTACTAATTGACAGGTTTTATTTTCTCATCTACCTACAATTGGGTTGCTGCTGGGAACGTTTCAGTTTGTTTAATTTGTCCTAGACCATAATCTCAGGTTTAACTGCTTTTACATTTTTCATTATTTTATAGAATCTTCCTCTCCCTATTTTGTTGAGCAAGTTCATTATCCTGCCATAGGCTATAAATTCCATCAGTTCTTTTTTTTTTCTTTCTGCTGCTCCTGGGGTTGAACTGGGGGCCTGGAAGCTGTCCCTGAGCTTCTTTGTGCTCAAGGCTGGTGTTCTACCATTTGTGCCACAGTGCCACTTCTGGCTTTTTCTTTTCTTTTTTCTTTTTTTGTGTGTCGGTCGTGGGGCTTGAACTCTGGGCTTGGGCGCTGTCCCTGCGCTCTTCAGCTCAAGGCTAGTGCTCTACCACTTGAGCCACAGCACCACTTCCGGTTTTCTAGTGGTTTATTGGAGATAAAAGTCTCACGGACTTTCCTGCCAGGGCTGGCTTTAACCTCCATCCTCAGATCTCAGCCTCCTGAGTAGCTAGGATTACAGGCGTGACCTACCGGAGTCCGGCACTTCTTGCTTTTTCTGATTAGTTTACTGGAGATAAGAGTCTCACGCACTTTCCTGCCTGGGCTGGCTATGAACTGTGATCCTCAGATCTCAGCCTCCTGAGTAGCTGGGCTTTGTCAGTTCTTCCTGGCTTCACCTCTTTGCCAGACACGTTTTGGTTTTTAGTTTAATCTGCGGTTCTTGCGTTGTATAAACCTTCATTCCCTTGCTTCTTGTTTTCTCATTTAAGAGCCCGCAATCCCATCCGTCAGAAGGCTGGGGCAGGATTGGGACTGGTGGCATTCAGCCTTGGTACCCAGCAAGACTCTATCTCAAAACAAAATAAGCAAAATGAAATAAAACCTGTAGCAAAAGTAATTAATTATTTAAACAAACCCCAGATTGGCTATTTTCTTTTGTGGGCATGGTCACACAAAAGTTCCCAAATTGAAACTGGGCGCCCTTGGCTCCAGTCTGCAATCCTGGCGACTCAGCAGGCTGCGATCTAAGGATTGTAGTTCGAAGGCAGCCAGGGCAGAAAAATCTGTGAGACTCCAATTAAACACCAAAAAAGCCTGACGTGAAGCTGTGGATCAAGTGGTGAGCGTTAGCCTTGGAGCACAAAAACTCAGGGACATCAGTGCACTGGCACTGAGTTCAAACTCGAGGACTGGCACGCGCGCGTACACACACACACACACACACAGAGTGCTTAAACTGGACAACTTCACACAGCGTCCGGTCTCCGCATTCTCTTCATTCCAATAGTAGAGACGGAACGTAATTTAGCCGATTTGGCGTTCCTTGGAAAGGTATCTAGATATCTAGCCACAGAAACACAAGGGAGAAAGAACAGGCTGATCCAGAGAGGTGGAGATGGGTGAAGCAGGGCAGTTCCTGAATGCGAAGGGCAGTCCCAGGATTGAGTAAAGAGTCCGGCGCCCGCACTTTGAGTGAGCCCAGAATCTAGCAGCGCTGGGCAAACCCAGGGAGCAGAAACTGGGTGGAGGGTGGTAGTTGTTTTTTTCTTTCAATACACACTAATACCAGGGCAAAGGACTTAAGGCAAGCTCCAAGAGCAGCGCCGCCGTTTCACAGCGGACAGAGGCCGCTTCACTAAGTGCATAATCTTGTTGGCACAGAACCCACTCTCCTCACTCTCGGTCGTCTTTGACTTCTCCCAGGACCTCTGAATCGTCTAAAACCTTAACGTGCAGCACGTGGAACTACAAGTCCCAAGATGCATCGCTGCAATGGGGCCAGACACCTTTGGTACCCGCCAGAAAAAAAAAAGAAAAGAGAAAAAAGAGGACAAATGCCAGGATGTGGAAATTAGATCAGGTCCACCCTGCAGGTTGGGAAAGCAGAAGAGCTAGAATCTGATTGGTTGAAGTTTGACGTCTCTCAGGCTGGTGAATGTTCCTCGAATAGGAAGAGAGGGTGGGTACCCTACGCACTTCCGGTAGGCGGAAGTGAGCCAGCAGCCACCCACCCCAGCCTCCTCAAATACCACTCTCCCGCGCATCTCTGAAAGCGCCGGTGACCCGACGGAAGCAATTCCTCCGACTTGTTCCGGAACGCACAGAGGCCAGCAGCTGGGGGTGGGGGGGTGGCCCTGGAGAAGGGGCTGTGGCGGTACGCCGGGGAAGACTGCTGCGGCGGCTGCATTAGCGGCGGGATTCGCAAGTAAGCCTGGGGGCTGGTGCAGGAGCTGGGCTCCGGGCTGCGGGGTGCGTTTGGGGCCGGGGAGGCTTGTGACTGGGTGCGTTCGCCATCCCGCTTCGCACACTGGTTCCCGTCGGGGCGGGGGAAGGAACGGAAGCTCCTCGCCTCCCCGGCCTCCCGGCCTCGTCTGGGGGAGGGGAGGCCCGCCGGAGCTCTCCCGGCGCCGCTCGGTGGGCTCGGGAAGCAGGGGGAGGCCCGGGCCGGGAGGAAGCTGCCCGCGATCCCAGGCCTTCTCGCCGGGCGGAACGCAGAGGGAGGGTGCAGTTGGGGGAGCATGGCAGCCCCATCGCCTTTTTGTTTTTTGTTTTTTTTTTTTGCTTTCTCACGTGCTCTCAGATTTGTTCATTTCTTGAGTCCCAGGAGGGGCCTCTCGCCACTTTCCTCTGCAGTACCCCGAAAAAAAAGTTTGATCTTTGGAGCAACTTGTTGGGCCATGTCTCTCCCTGTGACCCGGTGGGTGGGGGCTCTCCTGCCTCTCTCATACGCCTTGTCTGAAAGGAGTTGTCTTAAGGCCAAGTACGGTGCCCCCTGAGTGTCCCGTAAACCAGTCTCTTAAGTAATAATAGATCTCCATTGAATTGAAAAGGGGGGGAATCCTGTAGTGCTAGTATTTCTACTCTGCAGCTTTGAGTGTAGAAAGCAACCGAAATCTTTAGTTATGAAACTTGGTTTTCAAACTGCCAAATTTGCATTTGATCCCCAAATAACTACTTTTTCCCCCTGTTAAGTGGCTTAAGACGATATATCTGTATTGTTATGCCGTATTTGAGCCATCACAGTTCGCAAGTGGGTTTCACTGGCGATGAAACCGTTGTTGGCCCTTCCATGATGGATATTTGTGGTTTATTGCCTCTCTGTGTGTGTGTGTGTGTGTGTGTGATGACTAATTTTTACCTTACAAAATGGCAATTTTGCGATTAGACTTGACTCTTGATTATGTGAGGCAGTTGTCCTCTGCACCCTCCCCCCAATTTGATAATGGTCCTTTTTAAAAAAGACATCTAATAACTGCTAGGCTGGGAATGTAGCTTAGTTGTAAAGTGCTTGCCTTTCATGCCAGAGACCATAAATCTGAAATCCAGTAACTACACACATCCAAAAAAGTTGTCTTCTATCTAATAGTTATTCAAAACCGATTTTTTTAATATGCACACTCATTACACATAGAACCAGTTTCATTAGTAGATGCTAAATTTGAAGTAACTAGGCAATAATTTACACATGAAGCTATGTCTTCTATAGTTATCTAGTTAAGTACTGAAGTAATACTTTGTTGTTTAACTTCCAAAATGCTGTGTGGCTTTTTTTTCCAGTCATGTAAAATAAACAGGAAAATCTTCAGTTTTTGCTAATGTATATATTAATACATTTTCCAAATGGTTATTACTGCATTGTTAAAATCAGATAAACACCATTCAGTGAAGCATGAAACTTTTAAGTCTTAATAATTCTGGAAAATGATAATAGTACTCAAATATTTACCAAACATCTATTTATGTGCTTTGATGCCTACCCTCAAAATGGATATAGGGGATGGGATTATAATTTCAGGTAATGATAAATAAGAGGAAAATTAGGCCAGTGCTAGTAATTAGGAGTTGGGAGAATTCTAAAGTTCAAGGCTAGCTTAGGCTACATGTGGAGACCTTGTCTCAAACAAAAGGATGGGCCGGGAAGGTGGCTCAGTGGTAGTAGAGTGCTTGCCTCACATGCATGAGCCCCTGGGTTCGAAAGGCCGTGGCTCAAGTGGTAAAGTGCTAGCCTTGAGCTGAAGATCTGAGGGACAGTGCCCAGGCCCAGAGTTCAAGCCCCACAACTGTGAAAGGAAAAAAAAAAAGAGACTTCTGGCTGCTTGTGGCTTAGGCCTCTGTGATCTTAGCTGCTCAGGAGGCTGAGAGCTGAGAATCCATTTGAAGCCAGCACAGGCTGGGAAAGTCCTAGAAATTCCTATGAACAATTAACCACCAAAAAAGCTGAAGTAGAGCTGTGGCTCTAGTGATTTAGAGAAAAAACAAAAAACAAAACTCAGGGACAGCACCCAGTGCCTGCAGTCAAGCCCCAGGTCTAGTGCTTACACATGAGTGCGCGCGCGCACACACACACAAATTTAGGTGATGATAATATGCTTTTGATGGAAAAGTTGATTGTTTTAACTGGAGATTTCTCAAATAGTAAACTGCAAATGCATAGACCTTGACCACAATGAAGGAAGAGTAGTGTTGACATCAGGGTATGGTGGATGAGTGTTAATCACCTAACAAATAAATAAAATTGAGGCTTATGGTCTTTTTTTCTATTTGAAATGAGAAACCACTGACAGGTTTTCAGTAGGAAGGTGGCTGATTTATGCTTGTTCATAGCAGATTGGTGAGTGGAGAGTAGACCAGCTCTCCAGCTCTGGATATAAGCTCTGGATGAGGAAACTTTTCTAAGTGTTTAAGTCTCTGAGATACATTAGCTTGAAATGTAGAGTTGGAAGATAATGATTTGAAGTGTAATTTCATGCTAGAGCCAAATGGCACAGATAAAATTTTCTTTTTATTTCTTTGTGGTGGGTTTGAACTCTGGGCCTGGGTACTGTCCCAGAACTTCTTTTTGCACCAGGATAGAAATCTACTACTTGAGCCCTAGCTCCATGTCTGGCTTTTTTGGTAGATTATTAGAGACAAAAGCCTCACAAACTTTCCTGCCTAGGCTGGCTTTACTGTGATCCTCAGATCTCAGGACTCTGGGTACCTAGGATTATAGATGTGAGCCACCAGCTCTTAGATTTGATTTTATTTTGAGTAAGCAACTTTTACCCACCCTAATCATTTCAGGAATAGCAGTATCATAGTGTATCTTACTGGGTATTACTGCTTTGTAGCACGTACCTCTACTCCCAGAACTCAAGAGGCTGAGAGGTAGAAGGATGAGTCTCTGAGCAGCCTGTGCTATATGGTCAAACAAAACAAAAAGTATTTACTGAAGTGGGAAAGACTTGAGAAGGGAAACATCAGTTTTTGATAGTTTCCAAGAGTTGTGTGTGTATGTCAATACTAGGGCTTTTCTACTAAATAGCCTTGAATACTTAACTTCATTCTTTTGTTTAGGGCTGGCACTCTACAACTGAACTTTAACTCCTCTTCTGGCTTTTTTTTTGTGGGGGGGCATTCCTGGGGCTTGAACTTGGGGCCTTTAGCGTCCCTCAGCCTCTTTTGTTCAAGGCTAGCCTTCTACCACTTGAGCCACAGTGCTACTTCTGGCTTTTTCTGAGTAGTTTATTGGAAATAAGAGTCTCATGGACTTTCCTGCCTGGGCTGGTTTTGAACCTCAATTCATAGATCTCAGCCTCCTGAGTAGCTAGGATTACATTGGTGAGCCATACATGGCAGGGAGGATTATTTTTATTCAACTTTTGAAACAAAGGAATGGACAAAAGAACACATGTATAGAGTGAGTGATTTCTTTTGGTTTATTTTTATTTATTTATTATTTTTTTGGGGGGGGGTTTGGTCATGGGGCCTGAACTCTGGGCCTGGGTGCTGTCCCTCAGCTCTTCAGCTCAAGGCTAGCACTGTATCACTTGAGCCACAGCGACACTTCTGGCTTTGGTTTATTTTTAGCCTGTCAGTCTAAATGTTTGTTTTGTTTTACAATATACATGAGCTATGGGTAGATATACTTAGAAAATTTTCTTATTCATTTTATAAACTGTAAGGAAATTTGAGATAGTAAGGGAGATTAGGTAGTTTTCAGTGGTAAAGTGCCCTGCATCCTTTTAAGTTCACTGCTCTGTGGGAAACACCTGCTTAATAAAGATAAAAGTAAGATAAGTGGGAGTAACACAGTTAAATTCAATCCCCTCATATGAGATATGAAGAGTCAAATTCTGTCACTTAACCTATATAGATCTCAAGACAAATGTCTAAGCAAGAATAGAAATTCAGATATGGGGCTAGAGGTATGTGGTTTTTTTTGTTGTTTTTTGTCGGTTGTTGGGCTTGAACTCTGGGCCTGGATGCTGTCCCTCAGCCCTTCAGCTCAAGGCTAGTGCTCGGTCACAGCACCACTTCTGGTTTTCTGAGTGGTTTATTGGAGATAAGAGTCTCACAGACTTTCCTGCCCGGTCTGGTCTGGAACCATGAAACCATGATCCTCAGATCTCAGCCTCCTGAGTAGTTAGGATTACAGGCGTGATCCACTGGCACCCGGCTGAGGATTGTGTTTTGAAAGTCAGCCTGGGCAGGAGAGTTGAGACTCTTATATCCAATAAACTACTCAGAAAAGACTGGAAGTGGTCCTGTGGCTCAAGTGTTAGAGAACTAGCATTTGAGACAAATGACAGTGCCCAGGCCCTGAGTTCAAACCCCAGGACCTGTAGGACAACAAACGTGTGAAGACACTGGTGGACAGTGGACTTCATTTATTTTTGTTACAGACCTATAAAAAAAATCTACATTTATCCTCCACATGTAGTTCTATATACACATATACATAAATATATACATACACGAATGAATGTTTGGTTTGGAAATGGAATCATAGCTTTTTTTTTTGGTTGGTTGTGGGGCTTGAACTCTGGGCTTGGGCACTGTCCCTGCGCTCTTCAGCTCAAGGCGCTTGAGCCACAGTGCCACTTCCAGTTTTCTAGTGGTTTATTGGAGATAAGAGTCTCACAGACTTTCCTGCCCGCGCTGGCTTTGAACCTCGATCCTCAGCTCTCAACCTCCTGAGTAGCTAGGATTACAGGCGTGAGCCACTGGTGCCCTGCTTTAACATTACTGGTTTAAGGTATTTCACTGTGTGCTGAGTAAGCACTGTCTTTGTACTTTATGTATATTTATTTTTCATAATATCATTGCGAAGTAAATGCATATTATTTCCATTTTACAGTATCGGAAATGAGGCACAGAAATGTTAGGTAGATGTGGTTCATATAGCAATTAGTGATGGGGGTAAGCATTCTAAAGCCAATTGCT